CAAGAACAAGGACAAAAGGCGTGACAAAAGTGTGGATAAGAAACAAGAAGATACAACGGCAGTTACTACCGACGATCTCATGGTCGTTTGTGAAGATGATTGTATCAATTTTGTGGGCCAAGAGAGCAATTGGGTGATTGATTCCGGTGCTTCTTTTCATGTGACTTCTCGAGTTGATTTCTTCACTACCTACACCAAAGGAGCCGAAGGAGATTAGGTTCTGTTCGAATGGGTAATGAAGGTTTGTCCAAGATTATTGGCATGGGTGATGTTTGCTTGGAAAACAAATTTGGGCTGCAAGTTGTTGCTTAAAGATGTAAGGCATGTTCCTGACATTCGCCTCAATTTGATCTCTACTGGAAACTAGATGATGAAGGCTTCAACAACAAATTTGGTGATGGAATATGGAAACTCACGAAGGGTTCTTTGGTGGTGGCTAAGTGCAGAAGACTCATACACTTTATTCGATGCAAGGAAAAATTTGTAAAGGTGTTGTCAATGCACTTGAAGAGATACTTCTACCGAATTATGGCACAAGCGGCTTGGCCATATGAGCGAAAAGGGGCTACAAGTTTTGTTCAAGAAAGAGCTTCTACCCCGTTTGAAAGGTACACATTTTAAAACTTGTGTTCATTGTTTGGCGGGTAAACAATATAGAGTTTCTTTTCATAAAAATGTTGCTTCTAGAAAAGAAAATGTTTTGAAGTTGATTCATTTGGATGTTTGTGGTCCTTTAAAAGTTAGAACACATGGTGGTGACTTTATTTTGTTACTTTCATTGATGATTATTCAAGGAAAGTTTGGGCTTTTCTACTAAAAACTAAAGATTAAGTTGTAGAGTGTTTAAGCATTTTCAGGCCATGGTGAAAGAGAAACAAACAGAAATTGAAGTGCATCCGATCAGACAATGGTGGTAATACATTGGGCCATTTGATGAGTATTGTCGCAGCCAAGGTATTCGGCACCAAAAGATAGTTAAGAAGACTCCTCAACAAAATGGCGTTGCCGAGAGGATGAACCGCACCATTGTGGAAAGAACAAGGTATTTGCTTTCCACAGCTAAATTGCCAAGATCTTTTGGGGTGAGGCAATGAAGACAACGGTTGACGTAATCAATTTGTCTCCTTCCTATCCTTTGAATGATGATGTTCCAGAAAGACTTTGGACCAGTAAAGATGTATCTTATGAGCACTTGAGAGTGTTTGATTGCCGAGCTTTTGTTCACATTCCAAAAGATGAGAGGTCCAAGTCTGATAGCAAGTCAAGACAATTATTTTTCTTGGCTATGGGCGTGATGAATTGGGGTATAGATTGTGGGATTCGGTCGATAAGAAAATCATTCGAAGCCCGTGATGTTGTGTTTTCTTGAAGACCAAACAATTGAAGACTTTGGCAAAGGTGATCAACCGGAGCCAAAAACTAGTGATCTCATTGACATGGATCCATCTCCTTCATCTTCGGTGGATGATGAAAATGGAGGAGATATGCAGCCACCTCTTGAAGATGTAAGATGATGATGCTATTCAAAATGAATGAGCCCGAAATTGAGAAAGAGCATCCAACTCAAGAACCGCCATCACAACTTGAGTTTGAGGAAATCTACAAGTGGACCGGCAACCTTCAAAAAGTATCCTCCCAATAAATTTGTATTGATTTTCTGATCAAGGGGAGCCTGAGAGCTACTAGAAGCAATTGAGCATCACAAGGAAAGGTGATTGGAAAAGGCCATGGAAGAGGAGATGAATTCCTTGCTTGAAAACCAGACTTAATGATTGTGAATGATGCGAGCGAGTGAAGAATAGAATAAGGGGTTTATCGTAGGAGCAGGAGGAGAATGTTGGAAACGCTTTAGGCAAAAGAAAGTATTGAATTTGAAGTGTTTTATTGATAACGTTCGGAGTTGTAAGTTAAAGAATATGTAAATTGGCATTACGTAGTTACGAAGTTGGTATGGCACGATTGTACTTGGCATGGGCAAGTAGAACTTGAAGTTTAGCAACTTGATGTGAGACCGCATTTTCTTTATGGTGATCTTGAAAAAGAAATTTACATGGAGCAAACCAGAAAGGTTTTTGTGGAAAAAGGGAAAGAAAAATTTGTTTGCAATTGAAGAAAAAGTTTGTATGGTCTCAGAGCGCCCGCGGCAAATGGTACAAAAAATTTTGACTCTTCATGATGAATAATGGTTTTCTAAAAACACTTCGGACCATTATTTGTTTGTGAAAAATTTCCCAGATAGTAAATTTATATTCTTTTGCTTTATGTTGATAGACATATTAATTTGGGTCACGAATTCACCATGATA